CTTGTTCCCAAGTATCACTTTTAGCAACAGGAAACAGAACAAATTTCATGAGTATATCAATTACACTCCTTATTCGGGCAAGAATCTTTGAATCAATTTTATGACATGAAATGGTGTCTACCACTTTGCAGCTGCGGAAAAGAAGAGACACATCCTCGCGTGCAATGGGACGATCACGGCTCACCACAACCTCCACTTCCTGGATTCAAGCGATTCTCCTGCCACAGCCTCCTGAGTAGCTGGGACTACAGGTGTGCCCCACCATGCCTGCTGGATAATTTTTGTATTTCTAGTAGAGACAGGGTTTCACCATGTTGACCAGGCTGATCTCAAATTCCTGATCTCAGGTGATCCACCCGCCTCAGCCTCCCAGAGTGCTGGGATTACAGGTGTGAGTCACCACACCTGGCCTTTCTTGTTTTCCTGAAATTCCTTTTCTCTCACAACATTATCAAGCTCAGTATCAATTTTCCATAAGCTGCAAAAAGAAAAAAAAAAAGAAGGCCAAGGAGCTCAAAACCTAACATATGAAAAGGGAAAAGGCAAGAAGGGAATTTTAAACAGGTGGAATGAGGGACATATAATGTGTTTCTTGGTTCTGCCTGATATAAATTTCTTTTTTTTTTGTTTTGTTTTGTTTTGTTTTGTTTTTTGAGACGGAGTCTCGCTCTGTCGCCCAGGCTGGAGTGCAGTGGCGCGATCTCGGCTCACTGCAAGCTCCGCCTCCTGGGTTTACGCCATTCTTCTGCCTCAGCCTCCTGAGTAGCTGGGACTACAGGCGCCCGCCACAACGCCCGGCTAATTTTTTGTATTTTTAGTAGAGACGTGGTTTCACCGTGGTCTCGATCTCCTGACCTTGTGATCCGCCCGCCTCGGCCTCCCAAAGTGCTGGGATTACAGGCGTGAGCCACCGCGCCCGGCCCCTGATATAAATTTCTAACTGTAGCCTGGGCAGCATAGCAAGATCCCATCTCTACAAAAAAAAAAAAAATACAAAAACCAGCCAAGAGTGCTGGTACACACCTGTGGTCCCAGCTACTTAAGAGACTGAGGCACAAGGATCTTGCGCCCAGATTGAGGCAGCAGTAAGCCGAGATCACATCACTGCGCTCCAGCCTGGGTGCCCGAGTGAGACTCTGTCTCAAAATAAAAAGAAAAAAGAAAGAAAGAAATTACTTTGTTTATTTCTCTGAATGCCTGTGGTCGGCAATTCTCCTGCCTCCGGTCACCCAAGTAGCTGGGACTATAGGTGTCTGCCACCACGCCCAGCTAATTTTTTGTATTTTTAGTAGAGACGGGGGTTTCTTCATGTAGGTCAGGCTGGTCTCGAACTCCTGACCTCAGATGATCCGCCCGCCTCGGCATCGCAAAGTGCTGGGATTACAGGTGTCAGCCACCACGACCAGCCGAAAGTTTCCATTTCTAGCAAGTTCCTGGGCAATAATTATGATGGCCAAGAATGGCAGTCTGGGAACAACTGCTCTGGAAGATTTTATCTGTGACCCAGAGCTTTGACCCTTTTGGGGATTTGGTGTCACGTCCTCACTGCTGGAGTTTGCTTCTTTAGTTAACAAAATCTGTCATTGCTCCCAAATCACCTCGTAGGGCTTATTCATTCTTCCTTGAGTTGAGCTTCTTTATCCTTGTTGTTATTAAAATGTAAGTTTCAAACATTTCGTTTTTCTTTTAGGGACAGGGTCTTGCTTTTACCCAGGTTGGAGTGCAGTGGTGCCACCACAGCTCACTGCAGCCTCCCGCTGCTGGGCTCAAGCGATCCTCCCGCATCAGCCTTCCAAGTAGCTGGGACTATAGGCACACACCACTACAACCGGCTAGTTTTTTGCTTGTTTTTTAGATAGAGTCCTGCTCTGTCGCCCAGGTTGGAGTGCGGCAGCACCCTCTCAGCTCACGGCAACCTCCACCTGCCAGGTTCAAGCGATTTTCCTGCCTCAGCCTCCCGAGTAGCTGCATTACAGGCATGTGCCACCATACCTGGCTAATTTTTGTATTTTTATTAGAGATGGGGTTCCACCATGTTGGCCAGGCTGGTCTCAAACTCCTGGCGTCAAGTGATCCACTCGCCTCAGCCTCCCACAGTGCTGGGATTACAGGTGTGAGCCACTGCACCCGGCTTGGCTTGTTTCTTTTTCTTTTTCTTTTTTTTTTTTTTTTTTAATGTGGTAGCTGGGATCTTGCTATGTTGCCCAGGTTGGTTTTGAACTGACTCCTGGCTTCAAGTGATCCTCCTACCTTGGCCTCCCAAGTGTTGGGATTACATGCGTAAACCACCGTACTTGGCCTTTAATGTCAGACCCCTCTTGTCAGGAGTTTGGTGAGATTTATGTAGGAGAGGTCTCTGTGTTACCACGGGCTCTCTACTAAACACTTGCTGTGTGCCCAGCCTGGCCTCACGGCCTTCTGCAGGCTTGGTGTGGCCATGCCTCCCTTGACTGCAGCACAGGGCAGGTCCCCTCCAGGCCCTACATCCCAGTCACCCTCCCCTCAAGGTCAGTGTGGGGGAATTTATCTGTACGTCACTCTCTAGGGTGGAGGAGGTATCTAACCCAGTGCCTGGCATCACATACTAGCTGGGTGACTGACTTTATCACTCCATACACCATGCCCCTTAGGAGGGCATAGGTCACCCTTGCAGCACTGGTACAGGCCTCAGCTGAGTAATACCCCGTGATGGTGCCTGAATGGTCCAGGAAAAGGTAGGTTCAGCAAGGGGTGAATGAGGGCAGGGGGAGCCCAGGGGACGCTGGGAAGGAAGGGAGATGGACAGCGACTGACAGGACCACCCATGCCCATCAGGTCCCACCCATCCTGCCAATGACACCCAAGGCAGGAGGTCATTTTCCCCCACCCCCCAATGAGACAGAGACTCACGATGTTGCCCAGGTAGGTCTTGAACTCCTAGCCTCAAGCAATCCTGGCTTAGCCTCCTGAGTAGCTGGGATTATAGGCATGCACCATCACACCATGCTTTTTTCTTTTCTGTTTTTTAGGAGATCACTGTGGTTTTATTGTTGTTGTTTTGTTTTGTTTTTTGGAACAGTCTCACTTCGTCACCCAGGCTGGAGTGTGTGGTTTTATTGTTGTTGTTTTGTTTTGTTTTTTGGAACAGTCTCACTCCGTCACCCAGGCTGGAGTGCAGTGGCGCAATCTCAGCTCAGTGCAACCTCCACCTCCTAGATTCAAGTGATTCTTCTGCCTCAGCATCCCGAGTAGCTGGGAATACAGGCATGCCCCACCACGCCCGGCTAATTTTTCTATTTTTAGTAGAGATGGAGTTTCACCATGTTGGCCAGGCTGGTCTCAAACTCCTGACCTTAGGTGGTCCACCCACCTTGGCATCCCAAAGTGCTGGGATTATAGGCATGACCCACCACACCTGGCGGGTTTTTTTGTTTTTTGTTTTTTGAGATTGCCTGGGCTGGAGTGCAGTAGTGAGATCATGCACACTGCAGTCTCAAACTCCTGGGCTCAAGCGATCCTCCTGCCTCTAGAGGCCTCTAGGTGTACATGACCACACCTGGGTAATTTTCAATTTTTTTTTTTTTTTTTTTTGAGACGGAGTCTTGCTCTGTTGCCCAGGCTGGAGTGCAGTGGCGCCATCTCGGCTCACTGCAAGTTCTGCCTCCCCGGTTCACGCCATTCTCCTGGCTCAGCCTCCTGAGTAGCTGGGACTACAGGCACCCGCCACGGTGCCTGGCTAATTTTATTGTACTTTTAGTAGAGATGGGGTTTCACCGGGATAGCCAGGATAGTCTTGATCTCCTGACCTCGTGATCTGCCCACCTTGGCCTCCCAAAGTGCTGGGATTACAGGCGTGAGCCACCGCACCCAGCCTCAAATATTTTTGTAGAAACAGGGTCTCACTATGTTGCCCAGGCTGACCTGGAATTCCTGGGTTTCAGCAACCTTCCCGCCTCAGCCTCCCAAAGTAGAAATATCAGTACTGTTGTGATTAGCCACCATTTATTGAGCGCCTACTGTTGCTCAGTCCTGTGCTAGGGATTCGATGTATGTTATTACAGCCTTCTATGAAGTGAGCAATATCACAATATCACGCCTATTTCACAAATGAGGAAAGAGGTTCAGAGGGCTCAAGTTACTGGTACAGAAACCGAGTCTGTTTGGCTCCAAAGTCCAGGCCCTGCCCCCCTGCCCTCTCCCATGACCCAGAAGCTTGAAGGGCACTGAGAAAGAGGAAATGAATTGCTAGCTAATGAGGGCCAGAAAGTGCTGGAACCCAGAGCTCCTGCTTCCCGGAGTTCCCTTCATCAAGCATCAAACAGCTTCTTTAACCTGAAGGGTCCAAAGCAATGGCCTCATAATCTAGTGCCTTTCGGAGGGAGGCTGACAGCTATTATTACCCCCCACTGCCAGATAAATCAACTGAGGCCCAAGGAAGGAAACCTGTGCCTGGGACTCCCGCATCTCAGTGGTCGGGAAGAGAAGCCAGGAGTCGCTGATCCTAAGGAGCAGCGTCCAGTGAGACAGGAAGGGATCAGGCACCGGGGTTGCTGGAGCCACGGGGCGACGTCCCCTTTTTCCTGGCTCTTTCCACATGCCACAGTTCAGGACAATAATACTTTAGGGGCTGAGACTTATTCTACAAACAGGGACAATTGCTGTAGCAGAAAGGGTGTGATACGGGGTGGGACCTGACAGGACATGTGGGAAGAAGGAATGAAGAGGTGGGGGTCTGAAGGCGTGGGAGCAGTTTTCCTGGCCAGGCAGGCATCACTGTGAGGTCAGCGCAGAGCCACTCTACCCCTAGTAGCGTGGGTTGGTGGGTTTGCCATAAGGGCTGCCTGGGGACAGTGATTAGTCCCGGTAAAGGTGACTGCTGAGCTCCAGAAGATGCGCCTGGGAGTGCTGGGGGTGAAGGCTTCCTGAAGGCGGATTCCCAGCAGGGTGGCCGAGGCAGGTCTGGCGCCCCCACCCTCTCGTTTCGAGGCTGGGAGGACTGGCGTCCCCGAGGTCCCACTCACCTCCGAGGCCATGTTGGGCGGGTCCTCGTTGTCCGGAAGCTTGGGTCCTCCAGGTCTGGAAGACAAGAATTGACTGACGACCTCCTCGGCCAGCAAGGTCCCCGGGCCGGACCGACTACGAGCTCAGGGCGTTGAGGACTGAGCGCGCGCCACGGTTCTTGGCGTCCTCCGCGCCCGTCCCGCCCCTCCGGCCGCGGCGCACTCACCTCCGCCTGGCCGCGCGGACAGTGTCGCGCCCGCCACTGGCCTGAGCTTTTCGGGCCTGGATGGCATCTGCTGGTGCCCGGCCCTGTCCCCGCCCCTGGAGGCAGCCGTGCCAATAGGAGGCCGCCTGGCGGGGTGGGCGTTGCCTCCGTCCTCCAATCCTGGCTGTGGGTGGGGACACCCCCGGCTGAGCTGTAGACCGGCGGTCCCGGGACCGCGAAGCCGGCGGGGAAAGGGTCAGGGGCACCCCGGCAGGGAAGGGGACGGAGCTGGGGTTGGGAAGGGTGGTGCCTCGGCGTTCGCGCTGTGGCCAGCAGACATGCAGAGGACTGGAGACTCTGGCCATGGGTAGAGGCTATGACATCAGGCCTGGGCCTGGCGGGTTCAAGAGATACATAAGATGAAATGGCATGTTCGCTCATTCATTCATTCATTCATTCATTCAACAAACACGTAGGGAGCACCTCTATGTACCAGATACAGAGTTAGAAAGGCATCCAGGAAAAAGGAAGGAGCATAAGAAATAAAGCCTGTGCCAGGCGCGGAGGCTCACAGCTGTAATCCCAGCACTTTGGGAAGCAGAGGTGGGAGGATCGCTTGAGGCTATGAGTTGGAGACCAGCCTGGGCAATATAACAAGACCTCGTCTCTACAAAAATTTAATTAAAAAAAGAAAATAGCCGGGCGTGGTGGTGCACCCCTGCAGTCCCCTAGCTACTCAGGAGGCTGAGGCAGGAGAACTTGAGCCCAAGAGTTGGAGGCTACAGTGAGCTATTGTGCCACTGCACTCCAGCCTGACTCCTCTAAAAAAGAAAAGAAATGAGGCTGGGCACGGTGGCTCATGCCTGTAATCCCAGCATTTTGGGAGGCTGAGGTGGGCGGATCACCTGAGGTCAGGAATTTGAGACCAGCCTGGCTAACATGATGAAACTCCGTCTCTATTAACTGGGTGTGGTGGTGAGCGCCTGTAGTCCCAGCTACTCAGGAGGCTGAGGCAGGAGAATGGCTTGAACCTGGGAAGCAGAGGTTGCAGTGAGCCGAGATCGCGCCACTGCACTCCAGCCTGGGCGACAGAGTGAGACTCTGTTTCAAAAAAAAAAAGAAAGAAAGAAAGAAATGAAACAGAAAAGAAATGAAGCCTGACTTCAAGAAGTTACAACATAGCATGGAGCAGGAGTGCAGGGAGCACAAGGGGGTGGGTGTAGGGGGGCATCTCTGTTGGGTACTCAGGGAAGATGTCCTTGATCTGATTCAACCAAAATGACAGGCTGGATTCTAGGCACTGGGAGTACCCTGAAGGGGCTTCCAGTAAACCGTCCTCTGCATTGGGTCTTGGAAGATAGGGGGAATTTGCCCAAGGAAGAAGGGGAGAAGAACATTCCAGGCAGAGGGAGAAGTCTGGACAAAAAGGGTGACTGGCCTGCTTGGAGAACAGGAAGTCATCCAAGTGGCTATAAGAAAAGGTAGGGAGGAGACATGAAGGAGTTTGGGGGAAGGCTGTGAAGAGTTTTGAAGGTCAAAACAGGGAGTTTGATCTTGGTTCTTTAGGTCATAGGGAGCCCCAATCAATTTTAAAATCAGAGGAGCCAAATTTATTTTATTTTGTTTTATTTTTATTTATTTTTTGAGACGGAGTTTCGCTCTTGTTGCCCAGGCTGGAGTGCAATGGCATGGTCCCGGCTCACCACAACCTCTGCCTCCCAGGTTCAAGCGATTCTCCTGTCTCAGCCTCCCAAGTAGCTGGGATTACAGGCATGCAACACCATGCCCGGCTAATTTTGTATTTTTAGTAAAGATGAGGTTTCTCAATGTTGTTCAGGCTGGTCTCGAACTCCTGACCTCAGGTGATCTACCCCCCTCAGCCTCCTAAAGTGCTGGGATTACAGGTGTGAGCCACTGCTCCCAGTCAAAACCCCATCTTAAAAAAGAAAAGAAGGAAGAAAGATAAATCTAGCTATAGTATTGAGCTATATGGGATGGAATAGAGGGAGAAAAAGAGACCAATGGCTGGAATGTGTTATAGTTTAAAGACTTTATGCCCTGGCTCAACTTAAGAGTGGAATTATTTGGAATTCTCAGAATATATCCGACTGTTTCAAGTCTTCCTAAATGCTCTTCCCTGTGCCTGGGATGCCCTTCCCTCAGTGTCGGTCTTGCTATCTCCCATTCATCCATCAGTATTCTAGCCAAACATCATCAATGTCAGGTCGATCCAGGTGTCCAACTCTGGGCTCCCATGTGATCCTGAGTAGTATGGGCATTTAGCAACATTTTCCTGATTTGGAAGCACTGTAGTAGTGCCTTCTGGGCCTTCTCCACCATCCAAGTGGTAAGCTCCTTGCAAGCAAAGCTTCATCTGACACATTTTAGTGCCCTGACTCCCAGCCCTCTCCTGTCTTCCCCCACAGAAGCCCTAGAACTGGGCTGCAGCTGACCACTGGGAAGACAGGAAAGACTGTGAGACCAACTGTATGCCATGTGGTCCTGAAAAATGCGAAAATGGAGTGGCAAGTCCTGAGATCCACCAGCCAGTGTCGAGGCCTGGCATCCCTTTCTGGGAGGCTTCGTGTGAAAGCCAGTGGCATTCTGCAGACGTGAGGTCATACTTCTGAATATGCAGCAAAATACCAGGGCCATACGCTTTGACAAATGAATTGAGGCTAGAGAGTCGGAGAAGTGGTTTGACAGCAGGGCTGTAACCACAATACCTAATATGGGTAAGTCACCAGGTGGCAGGCTCTGAGCTAAAATCCATCTGATCGCATCTTCATGACAGTACTGTTTATAGATAAAGAAACAGAAGCCGGCCGGGCATAGTGACTCATACCTGTAATCCCAGCACTTTGGGAGGCCGAGGCAGGTGGATCACCTCAGGTAGGGAGTTTGAGACCAGCCTGACCAACACAGAGAAACCCCGTCTCTAATAAAAATACAAAATAAGCCAGGTGTGATGGCGCATGCCTATAACCCCAGCTACTCAGGAGGCCGAGGCAAGAGAATCACTTGAACTCAGGAGGCAGAGGTTGTGGTGAGCCGAGATCTTGCCATTGCACTCCAGCCTGGACAACAACAGCAAAACTCTGTCTCCAAAAGAAAAAAAAAACAGAAGCTGCAAAGGGTTAGGTGTTAGAGGACATGTACACAGGTAGAAGGGGACACTCAGTCTGGCTGCCCAGATGACAGAAGAGAGATTGTCAGTCCAGGTTTCTTTGCAGCAAACAGCAAGCTTGCAAGCTTGGTGGAGGTCACGCTGTAGGTATGCGGAAGGGAACTCAGGAAGAGGAGAAAGACAGGAAAGCAGCATAAAGGCTTGCAAAAAACAAAAAAATCAAAAACAAACAAAAAGCAGACAAATCAAAAGAGTCTGCAGCTGAGTCCCTGACAGTCGACACTGAAATGGACTTGAGCCTTTATCTTGAGGAAGCATCCTTGGTATTAAAGACTCATAAGAGTCCCAGGCACAGTGGCTCATGCCTGTAATCCCAGCACTTTGGGAGGCCAAGGCAGGTGGATCACCTGAGGTCAGGAGATCGAGACTGGCCTGGCAAACGTGGGGAAACCATGCCTCTACTAAAAATACAAAAATTAGATTAGCTGGGCGTGGTGGTACACACCTGTTAGCCCAGCTACTCAGGAGGCCAAGGCAGGAGAATCGCTTGAACCTGGGAGGTGGAGGTTGCAGCGAGCCAAGATCACGCCACTGCACTCTAGCCTGGCAACAGAGTAAGACTCCGTCCCCCCCAAAAAAATTAGCCAGGTGCAATGGCGTGCACCTGTAATCTCAGGTACTCGGGAGGCTGAGGCAGGAGAGTCACTTGATCCTGGTTGCAGTGAGCTGAGATCGCACCACTGCACTCCAGCCTGGGCTACAGAGTGAGACTTCATCTCAAAAAAAAAAAAAAAAAGAAAAAGAAAAAAATACTTCAAAATACTAATAGTGTATCAACTGCACCTCATAGTTTGCTAAGCACGTTTGCATTCTTTATACCTCTGAGCCCTCCAAGGCTGTGAGTGGCATCATTCCCCCGTTACAGCTGAGGACCCTGAGGTCAGAGGCTGTAACTTGATGAATGGGCTCAGGGCAGATCCCGGCACCAAACCCAAATGTGATAAGAAGAGAGACAGGTGGGCCCAATGGCAGACCTATAGTCTATCCAGAAATGACACTCCACATATGGTTAATAACTCCTAGAGATGGGAGTGAGGGGTGAGCATGGCCTTTTGAGGTTAGATTAGTTAATATATATTAAAATATTAAGATGAAAATAAATTATGCCTTGCTCAATAGTATTAATGATAGAATTTCTTGTATAAAAAGAAATTACAGAAAGAACCAGAAAACAAACTCTAAAGATTTGTTATTTATGTACAGAGGTATAGCAAAATATATACACAAATTAAAAAAATAAAATGCTGAGCTAAACTCTACCATGCAAATTCAAGAAAAGCAAAGGGCTTCAATTATAATATTCGGAAAAGACAAGTTTAAGCTAGAAATATTAAAAGAGGCAAAGAGGGTACTAAAAGGCATCGTTTTTCTCGTTTTTTTTTTTTTTTTTTTTTTTTTTTTTGAGACAGAGTCTTGCTCTGTCACCCAGGCTGGAGAGTGGTAGCACAATCTCGGCTCACTGCAACTTCTGCCTCCCGGGTTCAAGTGATTCTCCTGCCCCAGCCTCCCAAGTAGCTGGGATTACAGGCACACACCACCATGCCCAGCTAATTTTTTGTATTTTTACTAGAGATGGGGTTTCACCATTATGGCCAAGCTCATTTAGAACTCCTGACCTCAAGTGATCCGCCCACCTCGGCCTCCCAAAGTGCTAGGATTACAGGCGCGAGCCACTGTGCCCTGCCGAGTTTTTCAATATATCACTATTAAATATATATGCCCCAAACATGATACTTATTTATTGATAATTTATACCCTGCCTATTTCTCAAAAATGACTTGAGAAAAACAGCACAACATAGCGACAATACACATACAGAAATTAAAAGTGAAACAGGAATACATAAAGATATAACACACAAAAATCAAACTATGATTAGATCAGGTAAATGAGTGTTCTGAACTATTTTGGTGTCACAGAGGCATTTAAAAATATAGTAAATACTACAGATCTTTGTTCCAGCAAAATTCCTTCATGCACATATCCAGCTTTGTTCAATTCCTAGGGGTCTACAACCAATAAACCCCTACATGCTAAAGACTCGTAGGCAGGCCATGGACCCCAGGTTAAGAACTCTAAAGCAAATGAAAGTCAGAGAAAAGTATGGATTTGAACAAAACAATGAAAAAATGGAGTTAACAAATAGAAATGGTAGAACAGAAACACATTTTGAGATTACACAAATGCTTTTATAAAAATTGATAATATATCCAGGCCCAAAGAAGTCTATGGACACTTAGAAATGTTGACACCACATACAATAAGAGATAAGCAGCAATACCCTAAGCATTCATCACTTAGAAATATATATATATTTTTGGAGACAGAGTCTCGCTCTTTCGCCCAGGCTGGAGTGCAGTGGCGTGATCTCGGCTCACTGCAAGCTCTGCCTCCAGGATTCACACCATTTTCCTGCTTCAGCCTCCAGAGTAGCTGG